CCTCCTTTTTTTTTTAATGACTTATGATAAAGGTTAGACTATAATAATGAGAACTTTTCCCAACAGGGCTTGTGATCCCGGAGCTAATGGGGATTGCCGGAGTTGATAAATGTCTGTGTCACAACGTAGATCACAGACCAGTACCCCTAAAATTTAGTGTCCTGAAATCAAACCAGTGATAATTAGGATATAAGTTTTCAAGACACGAGGTCATTTGCTATATAACACTCTTATGGGGGGAGGAAGGTGAAGGGGTAAATTGTTTTCAATTAGTTCATCATTACACCTGCACATTATCATGAGAAGTCATGACTATGCTTTTTCTTTCCTTTTCTAAGGAAAGCGAAGGATCTTCCTTGAGAAAACGTCAAAGAATGCACAGAAGTCACTTCCTTGAAGTGAGCTGGTTCATTGGGAGAAAAACTAATTTTTTTGGCCATGAGGCCAATAGCTTAAACTCAGACCAGTCATATATTGAATGCAAACTAATGCCGGCAGTGCTGTTTACGTGGAACAGTTGAGTCGTGAAGGAAAAATATAGTTGAATGCCAACGTGAAATGGTTTATCTTGGGGTTTTCTACCTATCGCCCTGACATTCAACAACAGTTTGAGGTTAAATGTTACGGATTTATAAAACTTATAAGAGCTCTATGGAAAGTAGTAGTTTATAGAAATGGAATGTATTTCCCCTTATCTCCAAATTTCCCTTTAAATTTATTTCTGTCAACAGTTACATTCTAATGTTATTTTCTCTTGTCTAGAATATATAGCACCATCGAGAGTTCCTCAACTGCATGTATGATACGATTTTCACAGAATTATTTTTTTTAATCAGTTCCTCGCCATCATGTATTCCCCACATCAATGGCCCCACCATCAATTTAGGAACTTGATGGAATGTTGAAACATCAATTATTATTTTTCTTTCCTGCATAACACAGCTCTTTAATCTTCAGTTGGGTACACAGTCAAGCGCTACATTCCCAAACCACTGGTGTGACCACGTGACAAAGTGATAGCCAATTAAATGCAGCAAAGAAATGTCACATGCAGCTGTAAAGCCCTTTGCTTAAAGGGAAGGGCAGTGCCCTCCCTTTGCCCTCCTTGCCTTTGCCTTTGCTGAAGCACGTCTGCAGTGACAGGAGCCAGAGCAGTCACCCTGGGTTACAAGACGGGAGCCACGTGGTCAGTCCTGGAGAACACCCAGGTACAAGACCCGGGACACTGACACCATCAAGGCCTGCATACACGCTGACTATGGGGAATGAGAGAAATGAATCATTTCACTTAAGCTCTGATTGTTTTGGGGAGTCTTTTAGAGAATTTGATGTTTACGCTCCCTGATATACTGGGGGGACCTACTGTACTTCATGTGTATACACAGGTTTGTTTATCGAAAGAGAGACGACACACCTGTTGATATAAGATAAAAATAAAGGGGAAAAGCATTGTTATAATGTGTTTGCTTTTTCAAATCCTTGCTTTAACTTTTTTGATCCTGAAACTCAGTTAACAATAATTACTGAGCACATTCTAAGCTCAAGATACTCCTCAGGGCTGCAGGGATGCAATGGAAAGCAAACCAGCCAAGGTTGCTGCTCTTAACTGATCTTACTGCTGCTAGGGAACTGAGAGAGCAAACATGTATACATACATAACATGGATTTGCATACATAATAATAAGACTAATTTAAATTGGTGCAAAAGTATCTTAATTTCTTTGAAAATTAAGAAAAATTCCAAACAAGGATTATTACATCTCTTACTTAAAATCAGTTAAAAAAAAAAAAAAAGCTATTTAAGAAATTAAGACTCCTTTCTCCCAAACTCCCTGACCCTAGCCCCCGAATCATCCAACTTAATCATGAACAGTATCAATCACCGTCAAGTACTCTTGAATAGCCAACCTTTCTGCCTTTCTTTTCTGCAAATCACTATCCGTTTACCGGTCTGTAAAAATCTATATGCTAATTTAATTATACCCAAATGAGAATATACTGTAGTTTTTGGTCTTGATGTTTTCAGATAAAAATCTTAATAAAGACAAAGCTTTTTTTTTTGAGAAATGATCTCTAATTTACCATTGCGTGCATTTTTATTAATTTTTGCTAGTTATTTCCCTTTAATGGACATATTGGTTGTTTTCCAATTTTGTGTATTACAAATATTCTGCAGTGAGCCTTCTTATGCTTGTATTTTTATCTCTTTATATTATTTCAGTATAATAATTTACAAGAAGTGGGTGGGATGGCTGAAGATGGGATATGCACTTTAAAAAAATATGAATAAAACCAATTTACCCTTCAAAGAGTTGTATCCATTTACGTTACCACTAACCTTAACTAATACACGCCATCAATCTATTATTATCTTGAATAATCTGATAGAAAAAGTGAGTCAATTATATGTCATGCTTATTTTGTATTTCCTTTGTTTTTTGTTTGTTTATATGTTTTGTTTCTTTTTCTATGGCCTTTTACTTTATGGATTTTGATTTTATGTTATTTGGCACATGAATGCTTGTGGATATTGTATTATATTCTTCAATTGTATTCTTTGATATTTTTTACCTCAAATTCTACTTCACAGGGTAGTAATGTAAATACTATGGTTTTCTCTCTGTGTTTATTCTATTTTCTTCCTCTTTACATTCAACTTCTCTATCACTTTATATTTAGGCATATCATTTGTTAGATTTTGTAATCTGAAAGGCTTTCCCTTTTATAGGATAAATTATTCCCACTCATTGTGAAAACATATGTGCTTGTCAGATGCTTAATTTTTCCCTTTCTGCCATTCATTTATTTTTATAATTTCTCATTGTCTTATTTTTTCTAGATAAAAAATTTATTTTCACAGAATTTAATTAATAATTAGTAAAAAATGTCTTTTTTCTTCATGTAGAAGAAAATGATCACTTAAAATATGAATATATGCAAGAAATCCAATGAAAAAATAATCATAGTTTTACTATTGAGAGATTTACCTGTTAATCTTTGTTGTAATACCATGAAGTCATTTTTTAATGTCTTATCAATATGAATAGGGGTGTTCTTTTTATACATAGATGCAATTTTGTTTTATTTTCCTACTGTTCTTTAGACCAGTGTTATTTCTGTATTGTATTTTAAATTCCAGTGTTATATTAGTTTCAGATGTAAAATATAGCGATTCAACAACTCCATTCATCACCCAGTGCTCATCATGATAAGTGCCCCCCCTTCATCCCCATCGCCTAATTGACCCATCCCCCACCCACTTTCCTTCTGGTAACCATCACTATCTTCTCTATAATTAAGAGTTTGTTTCTTCATTTTTTTCTCTTTTTCCCCTTTGCTCAGTTATTTGTTCCTTAAATTACACATATAAGTGGAATTATATGGCATTTTTCTGTCTCTGACTGAATTATTGCACTTAGCTTTACACTTTCTAGTCTATCCATATCATAGCACATATACCAGGTTTCTTAACTCTGTTGCAGGATTCAGTTTTTGTAAGTCCTATACAGTCTTTTGGTATATTCCAGAGACTGTTTTGCCAAGGTCACCAATGTCTTTCAAGATGGACGACTTGAGATCACTCTTCTGATCTCTTCTCACTTGAAATATCAATAGCATTTTTTGCAGGTGATCAATCTCTCCTTAAATTTGATTCTTTTTTTTTTTTCCTGGAGGAAGGCGCTTCCAAAGCATCATATTCTCTTGGTTTTAAACACTTTCTGACAGCTCATTTTCTATCTTCTTTTTAAGCTACTTTTCCTAGAGCCAACCCCAATCTGCCCTACAGCCCTCCTTCTATATACAAGTAATCTCACGTGATTTCTTATGCCTTCATGCTGTGAATGGCCCTGATTTGCCCCTGGCTCCCATATGAGTATCTGGATCCTGACTCTGGACTTTGTACCTGGCCATGTCTACTCTCTCTGCTTGTACATTTAAAAGGCATCTCACACTTATTTAAAAAAATAATAATCATCATCTAAATTTAGCATTTTTCACAAAGTGTCTAGACCTTGCCATCTCAGGAAACTGCACCAGCAACTAAGGCCAAATTCTGTTATTCTGTGTTAGTCTTTTTATCACCCCACATCAAAATCTATCAGAACTCTTGTCAATCTAGTTCATAACGATTTCCTTGATTTGTTATCTCATCCCCATCTCTATTCATCATTATAGATGAATTGCTTCTATTACAGTATCTTCCCAATATTGTCCCTGCTTTCACCTATCTTTTATGATTCTTCACGTACTAGTTACGGTGCCATTTTCATCTTCCTCCATCCATCCTTTCCTTCTTTTTTTTCCTATGTTTTTACTCATATATGTGCCTCTATGTGTATGAATGTCAGTTATCTTTTTCTTCCACCTCCCTAGCTTCCTGCTTCTCTTCCAGTTCTTTCTTCTCCCTCAGAATTAATATTAAAATATGTCAACAAACTACATATACTCTCACCTATATTCTTGCCTGTTTTTGGCAAATATATATACACATGTTCTTGTTTTTTTTTAATACAAAACCAAATCCTATTTTATATTTTTCTTTTGTTTGTATACTTCTTACACAATAAAATAACCAGATAATCCTACTAAGTCAATAGGTATAGATACACTGTATTACTCTAATAGATGCAAAGTCTTTAACATATATAATAACATGTAGCCATTTTTGATGATAATTTCCCATTTCCAGGTTTTTCTAATTATGAACAATTAAACAAAATTGCATTAAGTGGTCTTGTGAATATCCTTTTATTCTATTTAGAGAGTCCTAGGAATACAATGGCTGGGTCAAAAGTTATATATAATTTTAATGTTAATCGATGTTACCAGATTGCTTTTCAAAAGACTATAAAATGTAGGAATGCAATAACTGTTTATCTTATCTTGACTAATAATATAATTTAATGTTATCTTTTTGGTAAGTTAGTCATATAGCATCCAATTACATTAATTTCTTTGGCAATATATTAGAAATGTCGCTTTGGCTCTTAAAATAGCATTGTCCTGGCATCTATCCCAATGCTACTTATTATAATTGAAAATTAAGGGAATTAAAAGACAAAAACCCATTTTCAGTATCAAATAAATATATTAGTCAGTACGTGATCTACCATTCTTTAAGACATGTTAAAAAAATCCCGCATAATATCAATTGTTTAATTTACCTGTTAGGGTTGAACCTAAGCAAATTTGTGAAATTTCTCTCTGATCCATTTTGCATTTTCACTAATTCCCACATTTCCACAATTTCTGCATTTCCTCCAGCCATTCAAGATGCAATCCTCAAGTAGAAAACTAAATTGATGTTCTGTTCTTCCAGGCCTGACCAATATCAAATCTAGGGAAGTTGCCAATCAGAGAGATTAAAGCTTGAGAACAAGATAATACCTAGTTTATTCCTTTTCTTTTAGAAGTGAAATAACTGCAGCTAAGTCATGATTCATTCAGTGTCGCATGGTTGCTTTAGCAGGACATTATTTAAGGTGAGTTCCAGTAAGTCTTTAAATGTGGTACTGTCTTCACAAATTCAGGTTTCGTAGTTCATGGGTTCTAAGATGCCTTTTTGTTTTCAACATCTCCATAACTCAGATGTCTTATAATCAGTGGCTTCTTGCAGTTAATTGACAGTGCGTTTGCATTTATAGTGGAGATAAAAAGGGTACGTCTTATAATTGATGTGGTATTGGATCTGGTAGATCACGGTATTTGTTTTAAAGAGGCCTCACTTTTAAATCCAGCAGACCTGAAATACAGAAACAGGGATATGCGAGATGGACCTCCTACTTTTAGGTAATAATAATAACCTCAGAAAGTCACCATCTCCTTTCAAATCATACAATAACAGTATCAGCTGCAGATAAAGTCAATAGTGTTTATTCAATGCATACCTCATGACTAGTATAAAACACCATGTTGGAATAACTTGATTAACATATAGCTCATTTTTAAAGATTCCCAGCATAGCTTAGGTTCACTTGTGGCATAATTTCACTCAAATATGTTAACACCAAACTAATTTTGAAACCCCATATGCTTATAGCTTTTATGTAAATACAAATTAAAAAATAGAAATCAAATAAAAATATAAAAAAATCCAAATTTACCATCTTAATTTAATACAACAGATGATGTTGCTTTGCTGAAACCAAATCCAGTCTCAACATGGATGTTTTTATGAGTATTTGTGTGTCAATAGTGATCTAAGCACGCCTGATGATTAGGGTGCACACAGGTGCCCTATCACGTTCCTCCGGTTTAACGCCTTAATCCATGCAGATGTCATTTATCATTTGGTCTTATCTTAGAATAAGCATTTTCTTAGCATAAGAAAATAAGCATCTTATCTTAGAATAAGAATTTACGTGTTAAGTTTTTAGTTTTTTCCTCATTAGTCCAAAACAATAAAAGTTGTAATACCTGGCACCAATGTGGTCACAACTCGAAAGGCAAACAAGAGAGACATATAGCGACAACACCTAGTTATAAATTATTGTTATAGGATTTCACAAATGATCAAGAATATGTTTATTATGTTAAGATTGTTATAGTAATGAAAAGGAAAGTTTTGAATCCCAATAATATAGTCTGGAATCACTAAGAACACATCACAGACACATTTGAAAAACACTGAAATAAGCTTTTTTCTCTCTTTTTTTTTTTTTCAGGATGATGTAAGAACAGCAACTCGGTGCCTAGAAGCTCAGGTAAGGCTGGGGTGTGGGAACCAAAAGTGAATATAATTTGTGGATCATTCGTTTTAGTGATGGGAAGTTATCCAGACAAACAGAGTAAAAGCATCCAGAGCCTGTAATGACAGGAAGTAGGAAGTCTCAGCATGCGGGGGTAGCAACATATGGTCTGAAATAGCAACAAGCAAACCGGGGGGAGATTTACTTCCCTCTGAAAGAGCCGGACTGAGCGAAGTGGGGCAGGGATTCAGGATGCGGGGGTCCAGCCACTGGTCTGGGAAAAGAGGCAAGACGTCGGTCTCACGTCTCCAAGGAACAACATTGTCCTGAAATGTGTGAGCCAAGAGGAGGCCAGGAGCAATACCTCGTTGGTGCACAGAAAACTGACATGGAAATTTGGGTTAGGGAAGCAAGATGAGGAAGAGGAAGTGAGTTAAATCAGTATCGGCACAGGGCTTAGGGGATCTTGATTCAAATCCCAATTGGAGAAGGAGAAAAACTGAAGTGTGGTTGCAAAAAGGAGCTGCACATTGTTTTTAGATTAATATCACTTACTGTCATAATTAAATTACTAAGTGTATTTTTTCAAGTCGCAAGTCACCAATGAAACCCAAGTGATACAGGATTATCCCATAAGGTATTTAAAAATATTTTCTGATGATGAAATATTGCCTCTGAGTGTTTAGATATTTAAAGCAGGTCTCCAGTCGGACCTCCTATGTTCTCCGGGTGATTGAGAGGGAATATTTTATTTTTAAGAATTTGGTGGCATCCTTCCATAGAAATAATCCATGTCAAGATGATTACTAATAACAGAAATCGGAATTGTTTTAAATAATGGGAATAGGCCATGGATTTCAGAGACTATAGCATAGCAGGAATTTAGAGATGCTTACTTATGTACCTACTGCCTTTACACCGGGACAAAAGGAAAGAAATGAGAACAGCAAGATGGAAGAGCACAATAATCTGTCACTACCTACTGATCTCACTTTACTGCCATAGAAAGGCACGCTTCCTTGCCAAGACGATGGGGAAGCACTGGTGTCCCACCTGCCTTCTATCTTCGTTTTTAGCAAAGTTGAAACGAAAGGTTCTGACGTTTGCCGTAAGAATTCCACTCCGGGTAGTGGTTGTTACGGTCAGACGCCGGATCGCACATGGTGTGTGTGTGTGGGGGGGGGGCTCACCATTCCCAACATTAACTTTGACCTGAGGCAGAGCCCACAGGTAACGGGGCTCATCGGTAGGGACACAATGACTATCGTACAGTGGGATTAATAGTTTTATTTGCTCGATCATTATAGATGCGGCTGCTCAATCGAGATAAGGCGAAACAAAAGGAAACTGTGCTCGCTTCTAAATATGCCTACTGAAGTTCAAGGTCTAGGTCCAGAATCTGCATATTATGTAATTTTGAGATAGATTCCCTCCTGTGTAGAGAGACAACGAGGATAGATTTTAGGCAAAAAAGGCACATTCTTTTATAACCGTCCTCATCCTTCATGCTTTGGCAGCAAATCTATGGTGTGTTCATTGCCACTTCTGTGTAGGTCTACATGTGACAGTCTAGAGCCACCTCATCATACCATGAAACGTGTAAGTGGTAAAAATAGCCTGTTCTGACAGTGAAAAGACTCTTCAGAGATTAGAAGATATTTCACTGAAGTTTATTACGATGCCTATGTATCCTAAGATATATACATACACATGTATGCTTTTGCTGTTTATGAGACACAGATATACACTCTATAAACTTTGCCACTAGAAAACACAATATGACTTTCCAGATAGGCGGTATTCTGTTCCATAGGACAATTCCTATAAATGTTCCTGTTTTCTGAACTGGAAATTGAGCTTCACGATGTAGATAAAGATCTGAACATCTTGTCAGAAGGATTTGGAGAGAATAACATTTCAGAAAACCTAGCTTAGATGACTGTGACTTGCAAACACAAGAAAACTACATTATGTGACTCTTTCCCTTATGACGCTTCTTCCTCGGTTTGGCTCAGTATTAGTGAAGACCTTATCCCCGGTCTACCAGCTGCAAGTTTCCCAAACTTCAGAAGGCGTCATGAAAAACGTCCAGGTCATTAGTTGTTCCCAAAATGATATTACAGAGAATCCCTGCATCCTCAAAATACAAATAACAACAACAAAAAAAAAACTGCTGTAATGATAGGTGCCAAGATGGATTTAATTTCCACACGTTATTCAGTGAAGAATACTCATTTTTTTTTTCTGATAGATCCCGTTCATACTGAATTCTAACAAATCATTAGGCGATCTGTTCCACGGAGTATGTAAGTTTTAGAAATTCCTGCTCTCTTTTTCTCCCAAGATTTCCGCACTCCCCCAAGTGGATATCAGAGAAATTCAGCCAATACCTCTAAAGGACTGTGACGCTTCATCATGAGCTATGATCAATCCACATCAACTCTTTTTTTTTCTTTGTTTGAACTGAAGCATGGCACATGGAGAATTTTCCTTAGATGAGTCTAGCACTGCCCTCTCCTACCTCTGTCACTTCTAATTTACTCACGGCAGTGTCCCCTCTGCGGGAAGCACTTCTTCTGTCCCCTTCTCTTCTCTTCCTCTCTCCAGGGCTGGTGTCCGGCTGGCGGCCAGGCTCCCTGCGAGGGCCGAGGACCGGGGTGTAGGGTGCGGAACCCTAGGGGTGGGAGGCCCGAGTGCAGATGTCCTGACACCTCGACCTTCAGACAAACAAGACACACAGTCAGGTCGTGTGGCGGCGCCGTCCGCGGTGACCCTGGAGCATCACCACGTCCATGTCCATGTCCCGAATCTGCTTTAACCAATTAGGCCGCCCCAGGCAACAGGGAAAGCAGCCTCCAGCGAAGGCTCTGGAGCAGCACCTGCCCCCGCCCCGCCCCCCTGCTGCTTCCATCCGTCTCCGGGCGGCTCAGGACTGGCGCGCACCTGACGCCCCCCCCCCCAGGAGTCACACCTGCACCGAGGCCCAGGCGACCCGGCCGGGGAGGGGGCGGCTGGGGGCACCTGCAGGCGGCCTGGCGGCCGGGATCGCAGCACCCCGTCCCCTGCTTCCCCGGGGAACCCCAGGGGCTCCCGCGCAGGGGGCTTTCCGGTCTGGTCCCTTCTAGGGCCGAGGCTTTTTGCTCCCGCCGCCCCGTGTGTCGTGCGTGGGAAGAGGGACCCGGGGAGGGACGCGAGGCGCTCCCGTGGCAGCCGCTCCTTTGCTGCAGAGCCTCCCTTCCCTCGGCGGCGCTTCAGGAAGCCCTGGGGCTCTCGGGAGACGGGGGGCCCGCCCGGGGGGGCCCGCCCGGGGGGGCCCGCCCGGCCCTCGCCTCCCATCCGCTTCCACTCGCATCGCCGGGAGCCCCCCACGCCCCCCCCCCCGGCACACGCCCCCGCCCCAGCTGTCAGCGCAAACACTTGTGATCTCTGCGACCGGGTGGCGGCGGCGGTGGGTGCGGGTGCGGAGCGCTCCCTTTCTCTGAGATGCTGAACGGGGTCCAGCCTCCGGACCCCAAACACGCTGCAAACTAACGCGATGCAAGAAGCCCAGTATACGGGGGGAGGGGAAGGGAGGGGACGGGAGGGGACGGGAGGCAGCGCTGCGGGCACCTGCGGGGACCTGCGCGCACCTGCGGGGACCAGCGGGCAGCTGCGGGGACCTGCGAGGACCTGCGGGGACCCAGCCGCCCCCCCTCCGCCCCCTGCCACCCTCGGCCCCCGCCCCCCGCAGGCCGGGACGCCCCCGCCCCACCTCGCAGGAGCCCCCGCCCCTCCGCCCCCCCCCAACTTGCCAGAGTCTTCCGCCCGCGTCCCCCCTGCACCCTCCGGCCCCCGCCCCCACCTCGCAGGAGTCCCGCGCCCCCTTGCGCCCCCGCCCTCCCCGCCCCCCGCCGGAGTCCCCCACCCTCTGCCCCCCCGACCTCCATCCCCCTCACCCCCGCCCCCACCTCGCCGAACCCCCGCCTCCCCGCCCCCCAGCACCTCCTCGCCCCCCCGCCCTCCCCCGCCCCCACCTCGCCGGAGTCCCGGGCTCCCGAGGGGCGGGTGGCGGCGGCCGCGGCGTCGGCGGCTCTCGGGGCGCTCCCCCTGGCGGGGGCGGGCGCCAGCTGCGCGGCCGTGACAGCTCCCCGTGCCAGCCCAGTGGCTCCCTGCCATTGGCTCGGTGCGGCGGACCGGCGACGCCGCGCACTATAACAGCCCTCATGCCCGCCGGCCGCCGCGACTCCCGGGCCGCCGCCGCCGCCGCCGCCGCCGCCGCCGCCACTGACGCGCTCGGGGCCCCTGCGGCCGGCGGGGGGCGGGGGGCGCGCGGGGCATGCGGGGGCGGGGGCGGGCGCGGGCGCGGGCGCGGGGGCGGCGGCGGGGGGGCGCGCGCGGCCGCGGGGCGGAGTGAGCGTGGCCCCCGGCGTGCGGGGCGGCGGCGGCGGCGGCGGCGGGGCCCCAGCGCCGGGCGGGAGGCGGCGGGGCCCCATGGAGTGTTACTACATTGTCATCAGCTCCACGCGGCTCCGCAACGGACACTTTCGCAACATCAAGGGAGTTTTCCGGGGCCCCCTCAGCAAGAACGGGACCAAAACTCTGGTAATAGCTCGCGCGCGCGTCCCCGGCCCCGTCCCCGGCCCCGTCCCCGGCCCCGTCCCCGGCCCCGTCCCCGGCCCGGTCCCCGCCGCGAGGGGCGCGTGGGGAGGATGCGGGAGGCGCGGGACCGCGCAGGTGTCGCCGCGCACTGGGGGCCCCGACGCAGCGGCCCGGGGGCAGGGGCAGGTGCGGGCGCGGCTGGGATGCGAGCGAGGCTCGGCCGGTCCGGGGTTTCGGGGACGCCCGCTCGGAGGATGCTCTGCCCCCGGCGCGCCCCGCTCCCGGAGCTGGGGGGCCGCGGCCGCGGGACCTCTGCCTGGGAACGCGCCCCCGGGCGACCCCGCGGCACCCCCGGGCCTGGCGGCTGCAGGGGGAGGGGGCCGCGGGGCAGCGGGGGCGCCCGGAGGGCTCCCGAGGGGCGGCCGCAAACTTCGCGGGGACAAGTTGTCGGGGCTGAGCCGCCCGGGCGCCCGCGGAGCCCCCCCCCCCCGTCCCCCGCCAGCCGCGCACGCGGGAGGTTAGAGACCCGCGGGGAGGGCGGGAGCGGGGTCACAGGCTGGGCTGGAGCGCGAGCACCTGCTCCTGAGGGCTCCTCGCGGGGGGGGGGGGGGGGCTGGGGCCGGTAGTCGCACCTGCCCTCCGCTCCCCGCCCAGGTACAGACCTCCCCGGGGCCCTGCCTCCCGCGTGCTGGCATCTGCGGAACAGGGAAGCTGCAGGGAAGAAAGCAAAACAAAAGGGGGGGGGGGGAAGGAGAGGAGAGGAGAAGAGAGGAGAGGAGCAGCTCCCTAAGGTTAAGGAGCGCCAGGAGAGCCGAGCTGGAGCCAGGTGGCCGCCTGCAGGTGCCTGCATCCCCGAGCTCTGCGCCTCTCCTGCTCCGGGCAAAGTGGTGACTGAGCCTGAGTCCACCGACTGGAACTTTAAAGCCGGACCCGATTAGTCCGTATTTTAAAATAGGATTCTGCATGATTTTTTTTTATTATTATTATGAAACGACAACAAAAAAGTGCTGTGATGTTTTCCAAAAATGAAAAGTTCTCTTCTGAAGTTTTACGTGAATTCCGGCATGGATATGCATTTGATTTCTTTTTCTTCTTTCTTTTTTTTTTTATTCCCCCCCCCCCTTCAATCTAAGGGGATCCTCCTTTCAGCTGATTTAAGATGCAAACAAGCAGGGTTAGTTTGTGGCTTGTACTGTTGGGGGTGAGACTGGTGTTGCAGGGAGATTGAATCCTCCTTTCAGCTGATTTAAGATGCAAACAAATCAGGGTTAGTTTGTAGCTTGTACTGTTGGGGGTGAGACTGGTGTTGCAGGAAAGAGTGAAAATGCTCACCTGTGGTCTTCAGAGCAGTAGGCAGAGGCCAAGGGAATCATTGACATTGCGTGGGCTCTGATTATTTTCTTAACGGACCTGGCTGCGTGGGAAGGTCAGTATTTTGGCGGGGGAGCCCTTCAACTGGAAGAAAGCAGGTGCTAGCTTCTTTTTTCTTTTTCTTTTCTTTTTTCAAGAGCTTGTTGTTTTCAATCAAGTTTTGCTTGTGGGAAGGAGGCAAACTTACTCAACAAGAGCTCTATAGTTGCAATAGAGGTAAAAGAAACACACACCAAGGTGCATAGAGGGAAAGAAAGTTGCAAACCAGAACTTGGCAAAATGTTGGTGATGTTGATTCTTAAATCAACCTTGGGTTTCTAACACTAGTTCAGAGTAGTTAGGCTGATTTGTTTGCTGTGGGTGCGAAGTCCATCGGAACCTTATCACTCATGTTGACAGGAGCTAGGTTGAAGTCTAGATTTGCCAGTGTAAGTTTGGGGTGAAGATGTGTATTAAAAAGCAGCTACCTACACGAGATGAATAAATAAAAATATGGGCAAATGTTGGAGCAACAAACGGGTGTAAGAAGGATTAGAAATAGCTCTTATCATATTTCTTTGAGTCAGAGTAAAAGGACTTACAGGGACTTAATAGCTTATCCTTCCAGATTGTGTTTATAAGCTGCCCAACTTTATATTTCCTGGGAAAGAGATTTGTACTGGGTGAAATCACATAGACTTCCATCTATGCTCCAACGCTGTTTGAAACTATTACTTTACAGGTGATTTATGTCATATGTTTGTTTTTTGTACATGTCTTTTGATGATTTTGTTATTAGGGAGAATGAGAGTTATGCCCGTCTTTAAAGTACCACGGGAGAGATCTAAACATATTCATAAATGAGTGTTTTTAGTTCAGTAATATCGAGACTTAACCTAAAAATGTATTGTTCACAACACATAGGATGCTGTGAAAACTTAGTGGAAGCTGAATTGTCCTACGTGATAAAAACAGAACCTGAACCTTGTCAGAATTAGGAACCTTAAGAAGAAACACTAAATGTACATATATTTCATTTTGAACATTTTCCAGTAAGAATGTGTCGTTGTGACTTTCTAATCCCAGTTTCATAGGATAGGCATTTTGAGCCCCCTTTCACTTTCTTGTCTATTTGATTTTACATATTTCGAATTTTGCCTTTAAAAATATCATCACTTTTTTGCATTTTGATATTTGTGGTACATTAAAGGAATTTTGACAATATTTCAAGTGTTTTTTTCTTACTTGAGGAAAGCACAACTTAAAACCACTCAGGGAAAAGGTACTTTGATTTTTCCAAAGAAATTTCAATTATTTTCAATTAGTGGGTGAGTAATGGATATTCTGAACATTTTTTAAATCATATTTTTACAAGATTTACCATCTTTCAAAATTACTGAATAATTTAAGACAGCCTATAACTGCTAATACAGTGTTCTTTCATGAACAGGAAGTTACTTATAGACTAAAGGTACCTCGGGCGCCGGTGACATTGATTAATTGCTTTAGCCCTAAGATCCAGAATGTAATCCTGCTACTTATACTGAGGAGATTATCAAACTGTACAGTCTTTCCATAGGTCATATTATGTCCTTTGCACGTACAATTTTAAAAAGATACTTAAAGATTAAGCCTGTTGTTAATCTTGACCTTACTTCTGAGCTCTTAAGTACATTCCTCCTGACGATTTTAAGTGAGAATGTACAAATCTTCATTTTGCAGTGTCTTATAAGCAAAGAGAAAGGTCACTCTCCTTGTCATGATTTCTGTTATAATCGCATCGTATCTGTGATAAGGCTTTAATTCCATGTAACAAGAGGTAAACTGATATTTTACGAGCGCTCCAGGATACGTCTGGGTAACTTATATGGGTTAGGGGCAGTGAAGAAAGTTTACCGTCCGTGTAATTCTTGTTCCATTTCCTTAGATCATCCCTTAGATATAACCATTGTGTATAAAATCGTTTATTGGATGAGGACGTTTTGATATACGTATGTTTTGTCAATTGAACCACAGAACTCCTTTGCCCTAATTATATATTTAAAGACTTTTAATATAGAATGCTTATATATTTAACCCATAATGTAAATATACATTTGATCGCTTTTAATATGGCATTTGGAACTTTGGAAAGCATCACTAATGTGTTCATTACATTTTGTTAGTCAGCATTTTTATAGCTCATAAGAGTATTATGTCTGTTTTACTGACGGTGGAAGTAAAAACACATGACTGGGGAATGTGAGGTCATATAGTCAGTCAATATTATAATGCCAATTTCCTAACCCCAGACATCTTTATAGTTTAGATACTAAACTAGGGATTCCATAGTGTGTTACTATCCACACTGATAAGGAGGCGCTGTTGGTGTTCCCTGTCTCTTGAAGGCACTCTATTTTTCCGCTTGCCTTCGGGTATGGAGAAATAGATTCGCAGGATAATTTGAATTCAAGTATATTTTAAGTCCCATCCTCCTGTATGCAAACATCAATAATTTCTGCCTGGCCTAAGCCCTGTTCCTGGGGGCTGCCCTCCTTTTCCAATAGATTAAGTACTAGCGTTGGCAAGGCAAGAAGTATTGATTTATTAATCAGTTCTCAACATGTTTGTTACGTGGACCACTTAAACGTATTGCGATGCCTCGATTGCAAAGCACTATTCTAGGCGCCGCAAGCTCTGTGTTAAGCATTACGCGTTAAATATTATTCATTAAGATGTATTCATGTACGCTCCTGTTCACTTCAGATGTGCTTCAGAAATATTCACATATTTTGACATGTTTGCAGGTTTCTTGTCACTCAGGACATTTTCATATGTATTCATTTTGAAAAGAATGAAAAAATTCTGGATTTTTCCCTGGGTGTATACAGGAACTCACTAGAATTAAGAGTCTTTGAAATATATTCTATGGCCTTTTGTTCTAATTATCATGATCTCGTATAACAGTATTATTATTCATGTCATTTCCTTACACGTTTCTCGATCTCCTAGAGAATGGAATTTAGAAGGTTTCTCCCCTCATTGAAGCCCATTTTAGTGGCATCTTTAAGATTGTGCTTAAGACGGAAGAGACCAGTTGTTGAATTAGCGCTGATGAAAAATTATCATCGTTAGATTAATATCCTCAAGAAAGGTTAGGGGTAAGGGTGGGTGATGGCGATATCTTAATATATTCCCAAACTTTCCCACCTTATAAACTTCTTCATGTAATCAGTCCATTATATATTGTCCCAAATGTCTTTTAAAATATTACATGTTTAGTATCAAAGACCATCTCGTGTCTCACCATTCTGAACTTGAGGTGCCGTGTATGCTTTGCTATCCTTTTTTTTTATTCTAGCCAAACTTTACAAATGTGCATTTTTAGAACACATTTTTCAAGTGGGGAAAGTAACTTATAATTGAATTGATATTATGACCTACTCAAAAATGTAAGCAATATTATATAAAATTATATAGTTTATAATATATAAATAAGGCAAATGTTGTCAAGTAATGCCCGTAATTCCAACATACCTTGGTTAGTGCGTTAAATGTCCAGTTATTTTTGACAGCTGAAATTCAGATAGTGACTTGGTACCTTGTCATCACGTCTCAGTTCCTCGCCTGGCTCCTGGTGACTGCAATTACATTTTTACTGAAAATACAGCCCA